TTTTTTTGAGATTCAGTCTCACTCGGTAGCCCAGGCTGGAGTGCAATCGTGTGATCTTGGCTCAGTGCAACCTCTGCCTCCCAGGTTCAAGGGATTCTCCTGCCTCAGCCTCCTGAGCAGCTAGGATTACAAGTGCCTGCCACCATGCCCGGCTAATTTTTATATTTTTAATAGAGATGGGGTTTCACTATGTTAGCAAGGCTGTTTTCAAACTCCTGACATCAAATGATCCTCCCACCTTGGCCTCCCAAAGAGATTACAGGCATGAGCCACCATACCTGTCCAATTAATAGTCAGGAAGCTGAGGCTCAGAGAGTTTAAGTAACTTGCCAAGCTCACACCTCAGACGGTGAATTCAGGATCCAACTTAGGTCTGTATGACTCCCCTGACTATGCTGCCCTCCCTGCAGAGGTGAACAGACACATGGGGAGAGTCTGTGCCAACAGGGCAATGAATGACAAAGCACCAGAGTATAGTGAACAGTTTCCTGGAGGAGGCTGCCTTCTGGATCTAAATGCATGACGCCTCACAGGCAGAGAGCAGAAGCCAGTACTCAGGGCAAGCTCCCCGATGCCACTGAGCTAGCCAAGTCTGGGCTGTGCTGGGCTGGGTGGTGGCTGTCCCCTTTCCCCATTTTCTGGGGATCTAGCAGTCTCACCTTGGGCTTGGGATGCACTGTGAAGCTCAGCAGCCCATGGTACACCTGAAGGGTCACGGGGTAGCCCCACGCCTCCAGGTCTTGCTTCCGCAGAAGGGTGGCCAGGCAGGACAGGACCTGGAAGAAAATCAGAGTCCCTCAGTGCCACCAGCCTTGGCCAGGAGGGAAAAGAGCCCAGGTTCTCACTGATTCCAGAAAATCCCAAAAGGATCTGTCTGAGGTCCCCAGGGTGCCTAAACCCCTCTCAGGGAGCATCCAAGAGTCACCAAATCAGGCAGGCCCTGGGAGATGCCAGATGAGAAACTAAACCCCAGACACTAACCCATCGGAGGACAGAGGTGGAGCCGCTGCTGGCCTGGGCTGACACGATATCCATGAAGGCTTTGGAGGTATCAGAGAACTTCTTAATGAGCACAGGGCTGGGAACACTGTGGGAAAGAACAGAGACAGTCACCCCAGAGAGTCCCTGAAGAGCAGCTGGTGCAGCCCCTTGTGGTACTAAGGAGGACAGAGCAAGGGATGCTGGTGGCACAGTCACTCAGCAAGTGAGCAACAAAATCAGTACAGGCACCCGCCCTAACAGCCAGCTCAGTGTGCTTTCCACCCACGCTCCCCACCTCCCTCACCTTCCCACTACCTGCTCCTAAACTCACACCAATCCTCTTTCCACCTCCCCTGCAGGTCTCCAGACAGCCCGGGCCAATATCCCCTCCCCTCCCTCTGCCACTCACTGCTCCAGGGATGCTCCTCCTGGGGCCAAAACCCACACTCCCTGGTATAATGACCCAAGCCACTCAGGGCCTTATTTTGTAGAATGCCATCTGATATGCAAGTATCTTTTAAATTGTATTTTAAAATTTCTGGCCAGGTGCAGCGGCTCATGCCTGTAATCCCAAAACTTTGGGAGGCTAAGGCAGGTGGATCACCTGAGGTCAGGGGTTCAAGACCAGCCTGACCAACATGGAGAAACCCTGTCTCTACTAAAAATACCAAAATTAGGGGCTGACGCCCTTTGTGGCTTCAGCCCACCTGCACCAAGG